CTTGTCAAACTTAGAAACAGTGGCCATGACTAGTAGATAACCTTATTGATTTCTAGTTCAAAAGGTCAAAGGCAAAGGTCATTTGACCAAGGTTAAACATCAAGGTTAACCACTACCTTACCAGGTCTGCTTTGTGACAAGTATGCTAAAATCAAAAGGCAATGTATGTAATTGTATTATTAAATTGAAAGAAATTCAAACAAAGCTTAAATTGAGCTTTTGTGGTAGTTTCATACATTGTCCAGTTTCACTGAACATGCTTAAACTTAATATAAGGAGCAAATGCTTGAGTTTCTAAATTCTATATCATTCAAATTTCAACTGTGTGTCCATTGGATCAACAAATATGATGATTTGCTGACACATATTTGAGTTCTACATGCTTACTTCTGGTATTTCATTGAAACTTGGTGGGGGCAAATAGTCAAAGTCCTTAGCAAAATTGTATCAGTGGCTGTAATTGATTAACAATAAGAAAAGCTACCCTGACCATTGATTTGGCAAAACATTTTTAACAATATCAGTTTGCATACGGGTTTTCTGGTGTTTTCTGGTGTGAAGTCCCCTGAATTACAGTGTATGTCTTCAGTTCTGATACAGTAATGTGTAAAGTCCCCATTTCCTTCATTTCATTGTAGTGTATGTCCCCAGTTCAGATTACAGAATAAGTAATGTGTGAAGTCCCCATTTCAGAACTTCATTTCAAGTTATGTCCCCAGTTCTGATTACAGAATAAGTAGTGTGTGAAATCCCCATTTCCAGAACTTCATTTCAGTGTATGTCCCCAGTTCTGATTACAGAACAAGTAATGTTAAGTGCCCATTTCAGTGCAACAGTTAAGTCCATGTATTTCAGTGAAAAATAATAAACAGAAAGCAAGCCTTGAAGGTTCTCAACTCAAAACCTAGTTTTGTTTTTTCACCAAATTTTTTCATCGACATACAAATTTTACCGTAGCCTCAGGGTGTGACATGACCTAGACACAAGGTCATTTGGTCCAGGTTACAATGGACTGGTGTTTAAAAAAACCTTGTTTGGGCCATAACTCAGATACCCCTGCATGAAACTGGATCCTACTTCATTATATGTTGTTGCCCATGAACAAAGGTCAGAGGTCAAAGTCACAATGTCATGTAACAGGAAAAATGGTTTTGTAGCATATCTTGTGCTGGTCTACACAGGGTATTTATTGGCTCATCAAGGTCAGGTGAGCAATATAGGCTCACTTGGGCCTCTTCTTTCAGTGGACAAACCTTTAATTTATAGAAAGTTGTTTAATCTATCATTTCTCTTTGTTAAACAGAGGAGATCGAGATTGAAAATGACCAGGATAGGGGAGATGATGATAATGACAGTATTTCTGAAGATGACAGTGCTACTGAACAGTCTGATGCACATCCTGTTGAAGGTTATTTTTTCATGCTTTTCGTTCTTTTTTTTTTTTTTTAGGTCATGAGTTTCCTGCATATTCCATAGCTGGTATATTCAAGTTACACCATTGCTTGAGCCTTTTGCTATGATCATGTTACATTTTTATGAAGCTTTAATATTTAATGAAATATCTTATTAATCTTAAGGTCACAAGTTCAAGGTCAGTGGAACTTTGTCAAACCTTATACACAAATATAATTGATGACTCAAACTGGTGTCATTACTTTGATCAAATGTGACATAGCCTAAATGAAGATAACCATGATGATCCAGTAGGTTTAGGTTTCGTTAGGCTGTTTCTAGTAATATTGTAATGATAAAGAGTTATGTCTGCATTAAAACATAAAAAGTGTTTTGACTGTATTGCAGTTCCAAAGGCCATATCTTTGCGAAAGAAAACATCAGAAAAGCATATAAAGAAAGACGGAGTGAGTCCAAACCTGTTGTTAATCGCAGGCCATGGTCAGAGCAGGAGAAAGAGGCCATAAACAGAGAATTTGGACACTTCATTCAGATGCTAAAGGTGCCAGGAAAGGGAGATATAGACCTAGTTCTCAAAAAAGAAAAGTGTTTGTCAAAGCGAACATGGAGGAATGTTAAGGACGCTGTGCACAACATCATCATGAAAAAGAAAAAGTGTTGATAAGGCTATTATATCTCCCCTTCTCCAGAAGGGAGACATATTGTTTTTGTACGAGTTTCTTCTTCTTCTTCTTGTTCTTCTTCTTCCAATAATTTCGTGTCCGAAGCATAACTCTTTTCATAATTGAGATAGGATGATGATATTTGATATACATGTTCATGACTGAAAGACGGTGTGTCGCATACAAAAATTAGGGGCCAGGCCCCTTTTGTGACAGAGTTATTGCCCTTTGTAAAAAAAAAACTTGTCCGTAGCATAACTTTCTTCATAATTGAGATAGGATGATGATATTTACTATACATGTTTATGACTTACAGAGGGTGTGTCAGGTGCAAAAATTAGGGGCCATGGCCCTTTTATAACAGAGTTATTGCCCTTTGTAAAAAAAACTTGTTCGGAGCATCAATCTCTTCGTAATTGAGATAGCATGATGATATTTACTATACATGTTAATGACTTACAGATGGTGGAACTGGAGCCCAAGGCCTGGAGGAAGCCATGAGAGCCTTACTCGTTTACCTGCAGTGTTAGATGCAACTGTATCCTGCTACACAGGTGACTGCTCCAAGTGCAAGCAGCATTCCGTGCTGTGCTCTGGTGGTGACAGCGACAACTGGTGGGTGCGATCAATGTTCCTGAGTTCAAACCAGATCCATCAACTTCAAATGACATCGGAAGATGAGATGTTGGTGTCGGAGCTTCTGAAAATGAAACTCAGCACTGATGTTATTCGATCTATGAGACTCAGCACATCCACACAGAAAAATGAGGGTTGTCACAGAAGCCTGAATGTGTCTTTACCAAAACATCAGAATTTTGGAAGAAATGCTGAGGGGAGGTTAGACAATGCCATTCTGACCCTAAACAACACTGCAGGGAAAGCCATTCAAAAGAAGGTGGAACACTTTGGTGGTACTCTGAGTAGGGAGGTCAAACATAAACTTGATCAACTCAGCTCAGAGGAAATATATCAACGCCACCACCAATACAAACCTGCTGTCAAGAAAAGAAGTATGTTGTTGTTAGCAGAACAGCACAAGCAGCATGCGAAAAGGTCCAGGTCCGCTCGGAAGTCTGACTACAGGAGAGGTCAGCTAGATCCCAACATCCATCCATGTAGGGGAGACAACCGACCTCAGGACCACCTGTATTGAGAAGAAGAGGTGACAACAAATTTATTAGAGACATGTCAACAATCAGAAAAAAAAACACAAAATAATGTAACAACAACAGCAACAACAACAACAAAATATATGACTACCTAATGAGGGAACCTCCACGTGGTGGTAGTCGGACAATGTTGTATACATCAGTGTACAATAGCTAATACCCTCAAATCAATAAAAACTTAATTACATTTTCAAATTCAACATGCAGTCACTGAACCCTAAATGACCATAACACACATTTGAATTTAAACAGTACTGCCTGTTATTATTTATAAAATGAGGTTCTGAACTTATGTGCTCTACATTCACACATAAACTATTATGACAGAGATGGGAACAGTCCAGATCACTTGACAATTCTAAATTTTCAGAAAAACAAATAAAAGCAAGTCTGTGTGCATGTTTCTTTTTCCATTTTAAATCACTGGGGTCCTTAAATGACAGAATTCCATATTTCCCTGTCCTTGTTACAGGTCCAATCCAAATCCTACACAAGCCATTATCTGGGCTAACCACAAAATTTTCTAAGATCTTGTACTTGTATAATTTGAAAAAAATCCTCCATCTTAACTTTTAAAAATCTGGCGTAGGAATACACAAGAACACAAATATGCTAATTTGATGTTATTTATAGATGTCCTGATCACTCCAGAAAATAAAGTTTAAAAATTTTCTAAAAAATTAATTTAATTAAAATTTTAATTATAATCGAAGTGATGAATTAAAAATTATTTCACTACCTAATCAGTCATGAAATATAGAACAACCATGCCAATTTGTATGAGAATCAGTCAAAAAATGTGGGTATGAGAAATAAAAACATGGATTTTTAGGCATGTCATTAAAGGACACTTTTTTTTTTTTAATTTAAAAAAAATATTTTCATCAACTGTGAGCTATTTCAAACATTTCGGCGTAAACAGAATCAGCGTAGGTCAAATAAAACAGGAGTTATGAAGAATTGAAAAACCCCTCTCAGACTGAGATTTTAACTCAGCTTTACATACACTTTGCTGTACATATCACAGACACCAAGCGTCAGGAAAAATGAAACAGATTTTGCAATTATTAAGATATTTCAGTTCTGTAAATTGGTATATAAACTTGAATAATTCCTACATATACCTATACAAAAAAGTTTTTCAATTTCAAATTACAACTTCATTTTTTTTCGTAGAATTTTAATTTTTTTTTTAAATTACCAAATTTTGATATTAACTGAACATTTAATCTGCTTTAAAGCATTTTTCAGCTTTGATTTGGACATGAAATAATCAATAGATAACAGTGAAGACTTGCAGTAAACAATCACAGTGAATGACACCCACTGGACTAACTAACAGCCACATGTATACATACAAAGACAACCCATGCCAAAGGCAGGGGAGGGGGGGGGGGTGTTCTCTTTGGGCCTTTATGTTTACTTTTGGGGCTCTCCCTGTCTCTGAAACACCTTTGATGTTATATTATCAAACAGGCAATGATGTGTATATCACAATGACCAATCAAATGGTCAGCTTCAGTTTGATTTTTGTATTCTTAATACATCTGACTACTTCTGACTGACCACTGCCACCACACTGCTGACCACTACTGACCATTACCAATATGAAGGGAGACAGAAAGAGAAGGAACAATTATTTCAAGCCTGGAAATGTTCCAAAGAATAAGGGCCAGGTATTTAAAGTTGAAGATCCTGAGGTACCTGTCACCAGAGAAGAGAGACCAGCTCTGACCAGAAGACTGACCACCCAGGAATTTCAGCTGATCACCAAGCCCAGTCCTGACGGCCTTTCCCTGGTAACAACAGATACTGGAGACAGACCATGTCCAACACGGATACTACGGCCAGCAACTGTTACAGCTGAAGAATCCAACTCTGAGCCTGTAATAGAAGGAAACCGGATCATCGACATAGTGTTGATGGTGAAAATGTGGAACGACATCATCAGACTTCACGCCGGACAACCAAACACTACATCATGCATGGTACCGGAGTTTGAACTGGACACCGAGCGGAAAAGGGCTCTGGGATGGAGTTGTGCTGTCCGATGTAATAAATGCCAGTACAGATCTCCACTGTACAAACTATATAGAGAGGCAGACACGGATAAGCCCGGACCAAAGCCAGCCCTTGTCAACAAGTACCTGCCTTCAGCTTTGTGTGGCCAGGCTGTCAGCACCAAAGGAGCCAGGTTACTTCTCGGACACCTGAATATACCTGCAGGAGCCAAGAGTGGAATGCAGCGACAGGCAAATCAAGTGTCCAAGGACATTACTGCCCTCAACAAAAAGGACATGTCCGAGAAGACCAGACTGGTGGTGGAGGCCAACACCCTGAGAGGAGATGATTCCCCGAGCACCATCGGACTAGCTGTGGATGGGCGGTACAACAGCACATCATTTGGAAGTGCTAAGAAGCCAGGGATGAATGCCTCACAGGGGTTAAGTCTGGGTATCGAGACATCTACCCCTAAGAAGTGGATACTTGGACGTGCCCTCCACAACAAACTTTGCTGGACAGGAGCTTGGCTGAGAGGGAAAGGATATGATGTCACCTGTCCTGGTGGTCATCCTGACTGCACAGCCAACACTGACCGACACGACAGCTTGTCCGAGTATGCCATGGGAAAGGACATTGGGGATCAACTGGCTACACAAGGCGTGCTAATAAAATATGCAACCACAGATGGCGTTGGAACTGGAGCCCAAGGCCTGGAGGAAGCCATGAGAGCCTTACATCCCATGTGGAAAGTGGAGAGACTGGCTGACCCAACCCACCTTGGCAGAGCACAGTTCCGGAAATGTAACAGTGCTAAGTGGAGCGAGTCAATGTTTCCTGGTCATACCAGACTGATGAGGTCTCATGCTCAGAAGGTATTTTCTCAAGACTTGAAAGCCCGGAGCAGTCTGATTTTCAAGGAATTGATGAAAATTCACTCCAGAGACATTGAGACTATCACGACTCGTTTACCTGCAGTGTTAGATGCAACTGTATCCTGCTACACAGGTGACTGCTCCAAGTGCAAGCAGCATTCCGTGCTGTGCTCTGGTGGTGACAGCGACAACTGGTGGGTGCGATCAATGTTCCTGAGTTCAAACCAGATCCATCAACTTCAAATGACATCGGAGGATGAGATGTTGGTGTCGGAGCTTCTGAAAATGAAACTCAGCACTGATGTTATTTGATCTATGAGACTCAGCACATCCACACAGAAAAATGAGGGTTGTCACAGAAGCCTGAATGTGTCTTTACCAAAACATCAGAATTTTGGAAGAAATGCTGAGGGGAGGTTAGACAATGCCATTCTGACCCTAAACAACACTGCAGGGAAAGCCATTCAAAAGAAGGTGGAACACTTTGGTGGTACTCTGAGTAGGGAGGTCAAACATAAACTTGATCAACTCAGCTCAGAGAAAATATATCAACGCCACCACCAATACAAACCTGCTGTCAAGAAAAGAAGTATGTTGTTGTTAGCAGAACAGCACAAGCAGCATGCGAAAAGGTCCAGGTCCGCTCGGAAGTCTGACTACAGGAGAGGTCAGCTAGATCCCAACATCCATCCATGTAGGGGAGACAACCGACCTCAGGACCACCTGTATTGAGAAGAAGAGGTGACAACAAATTTATTAGAGACATGTCAACAATCAGAAAAAAAACACAAAATAATGTAACAACAACAGCAACAACAACAACAAAATATATGACTACCTAATGAGGGAACCTCCACGTGGTGGTAGTCGGACAATGTTGTATACATCAGTGTACAATAGCTAATACCCTCAAATCAATAAAAACTTAATTACATTTTCAAATTCAACATGCAGTCACTGAACCCTAAATGACCATAACACACATTTGAATTTAAACAGTACTGCCTGTTATTATTTATAAAATGAGGTTCTGAACTTATGTGCTCTACATTCACACATAAACTATTATGACAGAGATGGGAACAGTCCAGATCACTTGACAATTCTAAATTTTCAGAAAAACAAATAAAAGCAAGTCTGTGTGCATGTTTCTTTTTCCATTTTAAATCACTGGGGTCCTTAAATGACAGAATTCCATATTTCCCTGTCCTTGTTACAGGTCCAATCCAAATCCTACACAAGCCATTATCTGGGGCTAACCACAAAATTTTCTAAGATCTTGTACTTGTATAATTTGAAAAAAATCCTCCATCTTAACTTTTAAAAATCTGGCGTAGGAATACACAAGAACACAAATATGCTAATTTGATGCTATTTATAGATGTCCTGATCACTCCAGAAAATAAAGTTTAAAAAATTTTAAAAAAATATAATTTAATTAAAATTTTAATTATAATCGAAATGATGAATTAAAAATTATTTCACTACCTAATCAGTCATGAAATATAGAACAACCATGCCAATTTGTATGAGAATCGGTCAAAAAATGTGGGTATGAGAAATAAAAACATGGATTTTTAGTCATGTCATTAAAGGACACTTTTTTTTTTAAATTTAAAAAAAAATATTTTCATCAACTGTGAGCTATTTCAAACATTTCGGCGTAAACAGAATCAGCGTAGGTCAAATAAAACAGGAGTTATGAAGAATTGAAAAACCCCTCTCAGACTGAGATTTTAACTCAGCTTTACATACACTTTGCTGTACATATCACAGACACCAAGCGTCAGGAAAAATGAAACAGATTTTGCAATTATTAAGATATTTCAGTTCTGTAAATTGGTATATAAACTTGAATAATTCCTACATATACCTATACAAAAAAGTTTTTCAATTTCAAATTACAACTTCATTTTTTTTCGTAGAATTTTAATTTTTTTTTTTAAATTACCAAATTTTGATATTAACTGAACATTTAATCTGCTTTAAAGCATTTTCCAGCTTTGATTTGGACATGAAATAATCAATAGATAACAGTGAAGACTTGCAGTAAACAATCACAGTGAATGACACCCACTGGACTAACTAACAGCCACATGTATACATACAAAGACAACCCATGCCAAAGGCAGGGGAGGGGGGGTGGGGTGTTCTCTTTGGGCCTTTATGTTTACTTTTGGGGCTCTCCCTGTCTCTGAAACACCTTTGATGTTATATTATCAAACAGGCAATGATGTGTATATCACAATGACCAATCAAATGGTCAGCTTCAGTTTGATTTTTGTATTCGTAATACATCTGACTACTTCTGACTGACCACTGCTGACCACACTGCTGACCACTACTGACCATTACCAATATGAAGGGAGACAGAAAGAGAAGGAACAATTATTTCAAGCCTGGAAATGTTCCAAAGAATAAGGGCCAGGTATTTAAAGTTGAAGATCCTGAGGTACCTGTCACCAGAGAAGAGAGACCAGCTCTGACCAGAAGACTGACCACCCAGGAATTTCAGCTGATCACCAAGCCCAGTCCTGACGGCCTTTCCCTGGTAACAACAGATACTGGAGACAGACCATGTCCAACACGGAAGTATTTAATTGTGGTCTTAGTCCATAACAGCGGGGTTTTTTCCCCGCGAATTTGCACGTGCGCAGAATTTGCACGTGCGCACGAACTTCCGCCATGCTGTTGGAGAGAGATAGGACGGTGGGGACATTGGAGTTAAACTTATAAATCACAGTAAGTTAACATGCTGATTTTATATTAGCTTGATTTATTATATCTACTTTGCTATTCATGATGCAGTATTACGTCTCAATATTAGTTCTGCCATATCCTTTGTTTATGCCTTTGACTTTGTAACAACACACGTCGTGATTCGTACGGCAGTACATTTGAACATGTTTAATTTGCTCGCGTGATGTATATCGGTAAGAAATAAAGATTGCTTTAAGTAATATTCCTATATAATAAGTAGTATATACTTTTTACGTATCTGTACTGAACTAGGATTGGAAGTTGGCTGCAGAAGCAAGTTGGTAGGCCTTGTGTGTGTGGATTTGTTTACCGATAACAAAATGTCGGTCTTCAGTGTACTTTCGTTTCTATTGTCCAGGCCAACACATAACCATGTCTAGGTGTTGGAAATTCAACATCGATGATGGATTTGGTCGATTAGTGTCAACTAATAGATAATTTTCGAGTAATAATCGGTTACCCAGCCGTAAGGAAATCGTTAGGCCTATGTATCGTGTAACTTCCCGCCATTTCGTCAGCGTTAGACACGCCTGACCAGTGCTCGAACGACATAGTTTTTAACTGTTTTAATTTGGATTCTTGTCATTGACTAAAGTTATTGTTGTGTAAACCTAAGGAAGACGTCAGACCACTGACATTCTGACCAATGTTAAAACATACGTATATGTTGTTTAACTTGTCACACCGACGTAATGGCGGAAATCGAAGGCGGTCGGGCACCAGAGCTTGTATCATTTGAGTAGGAATCCATTGAAACAGGTGTTTGACAAGGGAATAAAGGTAATGGTAGAGAGCTCCATTTACGTATTTGATAAAACCAGGGACGTATATACGTTCCTGATAAAACAGGTCAGCTGCAGATGATGCAAGATTACTGACTGAAAAGTAAGCTCCAAGCTCTGCCATCTCTTACTGTAAGGTTATCTAGGCTAATTGAAAGTTGTTCTTTACCATAATATTGTGTTGGGATCAACATTTTGAACCTATTCTTAAAAAAAGAAAAAATCACATGATTAGCAAACGTATTGAAATGAAGGGAGATAACTCTAATATTGCTACTTTGACATTCTATTTATAAATCAAGTGTTGCCTTGCACAAGTTTTTTTTATTTTTGAATTTTTAGAAGGTTTCAAAGTTCAGATTGCTGTCTTGAAATTAAACAGTGCTTACGGATTTAAACAAAAACATAGTGTATTATGGATTTTATTTTTAATTTTGTTTTTCTTAATGTGTCCTTTTAACCAACATTAAATTATTATTTCTTAAGTTTCCTTCCTTTTTTAGGCTAAACGTACTCAGTACGAATAGCCTATTGCTACGGCCTTTCAGACAAAATTTACCGATCCTGGCCTTCTCATTGGCTGAAATATCGAAAAGAGTTAGATTCCTCTAACGGCAGTTTTCTGCGTAAATAATGCTGCGATCTTTCCAATTGCTTTTTTAAAAGCATCCACAATTAGTTTATTTTTTAAAATAACAATGCGATTACTATATTTTATTATTCTCAGGTATAAGAATATGCATTTTGCATGCTCTAGGGGTGGGGTCTCATTTGCATTCAAAAGTAAGAATGAATTTTTGTCGTTTGACATTGGACTGATATATATATATATATATATGCATATGTGACCCTGTCATCTCAAAATGTATCTTCAATAATTAATTTGTTGTAGTAACATTGAAATAAAGAGAAAACGCAAATGTTTAGATGGTAAGTTCAAAATCATTATATATGCATACTGCTATTTTTACACCTTTAACTCATATATATTATATATAACATATTTTCCCAGAATTCAGCATTTTAACTCATAATTTCAGACATTAGTGATGAACATGAAGTTCTTAAAATCAAAGATGGAGAATTTGTGGAAGCACATGGTAGCATTGGAGCTACATTACTTAGTTTCATCTTGTGCTTTTAATTGGATTTTTTTTTTTTTTTTTGAAATGCAACAGGCTTTTCAATAATTTGAGCAGGAATACATAATCATGTTAGAGATTTATTTAAAGTCTGATTGGGAATTCAAACTGGTACTTTCTTACCTTCTTTATAATAATTATAGATGTATGCTAATTGTGGAAGAAAGTTGTGACAATGATCTGATCGAAATGAAGAGAGGATTGAGGATTTTTTCTAGGGAAGCAGTTGAAAATGTACTGAAGTATAGTGTACCACTGGACATACAGTATGAAATCATTAGACAAGTGTGACTTACGATTTATTCCTTTTTTCAAATCAAACCAAGACAAAAAAAGTAAGTTGAAAATGTACTAAGGTATTGTATGCAGCTTGAAGTATTGTATAAACCAAATTATCAGAAAAGTGTGACTTACAGATTCTTTCCTTGTTTCAGATCAGATGAAACCACGACAAAAAAAAGTAAGAGTGACAGCTACAAAAAAGGTAAAGTTTTTAATATCTTCAAAATGTTAAAATTGTGCTTACACAATTTGTAATTTCTTATGGTGTACTTACATGGAAACTCAAATTACCTGTACAAGAATCACTCTGGAAGGAGCCATGGGGCAGCTTGCCCTTTATTTTCCAAAATGGCTCACCAAAATTCACAAGTTACTTTAATTTTCTTTGTTGTGGCCCTTAAGAATTCTGAAATCAGTTAAAAATGGCTAATGATATTTTTGGTCAAGGTTTAACTCTGCTGTATATGACCCCTATAATGGGATGACTTGATACTTAGTCTCTTTTTTTTTTCTTCAATTTAGGTGATATTGTTTTATGTGCAATGGAGATGGGAATATGGTGGCCTGGATATGTGACACATGACCAGGACACAAAAAAGAAGGTCACAGTAGCTTTTTGGAATGAAGATAGCAGGTTTGTAATTTAATACATTACAATCATTTAAGGAACAAAAAAATCAAAAATATTGAAACTTGATACACATTTATATGTTATTAAAGTAATTATGTAGACACATTTTTTGTTGCATTTTATTTACAGAGTGACAAGACCATTGTCCAGAATTACAGATTTTATAGAAAATTCTCCTCTTATAGCCTCCAGCATAAGTATATATCTTGACATTTGTGTTTCAGTTACTGTTTGAGAAGTTCAATGATTTTTAAATTCAATTGGCATGAGCTAGACAGCTCATTAGGGTTTTTCACCAACTGGTGAAAAGACCTATTGTTTTTGTTATGTTTCTTTTAATGCCCCCGGATCGAAGATCGTGGGGGCATATTGTTTTTGTCCCATGTGGGTCTGTCTGCGTGTCTGTCTGTCCTGAAACTTTAACCTTGGCCATAACTTTTTTATTACTTCATGGAATTTCTTCATATTTACACACATTGTGCCTTAAGACAAAACCTTTCCATAGAGGGCAATTTGTGTGACCTTGACCTTCAAATGACCTTGACCTTGATCAGAAAAACAGTGAAAAATTATGAAAAATCTTCCATTATTCTAAGCCATTACAGGGCTCTCACACCCCATTTTGGGACTTGGGCCTGGGGCCCTTGAAATTGGGAAAATAACGTTTTCCTTAGAATTGGGGAAACTTGGGGTCTAAATTGGGGGAAAAAGATACTATTTTGCATTGGGAATGGGGCCTATATTCGGCCCCAAATCTGGCAGATCGAGAGCCCTGCTTTATAAAGCCCATGTTCTGGGGCATAGTTTTCGTGAACACATCTTGTTCCTATTCTTATTATTCTTCTTCACAATTTTGTGGGTTCCTAATCTTTTAAATGACAAAAGGACATGTATGTAAGCTATATAGTATATTATTGATGGATATATGACAATGCCGAATTTTGAAGTTGGTCAAAATTCCAATATGGCCTCCAAGACTTCATCAGCTAAAAGCTTTAAAACATGTATCTCAAAAACCGTTGAGTTGCTGTTTTGATTTTAAAGTAGAGAATTTTTATATCTAACTCTTTTCCAATACACGTTTGTACAAAATATGTCAAATTTAAGAAAAAAATAAATTTTCAGTTGTCTTGAGAATTCGTTGTACAGGTTGGTGCAGAATGTTGCAGTCATATTGATGTCTTTAATTTTTCTGTATCACCTACCGGTTTCGTTGTACACTATTTTGAAAAATTCCTTTGATCTTTTGAAAAGGCCAGCCAATTTCATAAAACTTGTTCTAAAAGAAAACCAAAGGGTGTTCCTCAATGAAAATATGGCATTGTTTTCCCAAGATGTCCCCTCTCATTTGGTTATATTTTTAATTTCATTGAAAAAAAGAAAATGGCCACCATGACGTCATATGCAATTTTAGCTCTAACATCAATAAATAGCAGCTCTAATTGAACATTTTTGTGTAAAATATCAACTTCCGGTCCTCGGTAGGGGCCAAAAATGCAAAACTTCTATTTTTGTTAACAAACTTTTAAAAAAATTCATAAGTTCTGGAAGGCCAGGAGGCATGGTATTTCACAAATACCATCGCATGGTCAATGTCTATCAAATTTGTTAGTGTGGATGACCTTGACCCAATTTTAAGGTCAAAAAGGTAGAATATATTAAAACCTTCAAATATGTTTTATTCAATAACAGAAAGGCACAACATCTGAAACAAGTGTCCAACACATATTCAGATTGGTTTTAACCAGAAAACATGTATTATATAAAATTTATTAAAATACATATACAATCGCAATAACATATTTTGCAATACTAATACATTTTATCATATTTCAGGTAAAGCTGAAAATCAAAAGGAAGTATGAATTGCTTGAAAAATTTTATAAAGACATAACTTTGGCACTGGAGGACCCTCACTTGTCCCTTGAGATAAAGACACAGTCCTCACACCTCTGAATGACCCTCACTTGTCGGCGGATAAAGACACAGTCCTCACAGTCTTGTCTCCCTCTGAGGACCCTCACTTGTCGGTGGATAAAGACACAGTCCTCACAGTCTTGTCTCCCTTCTGAGGACCCTCACATGTTGGTGGAAAATGACACAGTCCTCACAGTCTTGTCTCCCTCTGAGGACCCTCACATATCTGTTGAGAATGACCCTCACTTGTCGGTGGATAAAGACACAGTCCTCACAGTCTTGTCTCCCTCTGAGGACCCTCACATGTTGGTGGAAAATGACACAGTCCTCACAGTCTTGTCTCCCTCTGAGGACCCTCACATGTTGGTGGAAAATGACACAGTCCTCACAGTCTTGTCTCCCTCTGAGGACCCTCACATATCTGTTGAGAATGACCCTCACTTGTCGGCGGATAAAGACACAGTCCTCACAGTCTTGTCTCCCTCTGAGGACCCATGTTGGTGGAAAATGACGCAGTCCTCACAGTCTTGTCTCCCTCTGAGGACCCTCACATGTTTGTGTATATAATGACACAGTCCTCACAGTCTTGTCTCCCTCTGAGGACCCTCACATGTTGGTGGAAAATGACACAGTCCTCACAGTCTTGTCTCAATCTGAGGACCCTCACATGTCTGTGGACCCTCAATAAAGACACAGTCCTCACAGTCTTTTCTCCCTCAGTGGACCCTCACATGTTGGTGGAAAATGACACAGTCCTCACAGTCTTGTCTCCCTCTGAGGACCCTCACATGTTGGTGGAAAATGACGCAGTCCTCACAGTCTTGTCTCCCTCTGAGGACCCTCACATATCTGTTGAGAATGACCCTCACTTGTCGGCGGATAAAGACACAGTCCTCACAGTCTTGTCTCCCTCTGAGGACCCTCACATGTTGGTGGAAAATGACACAGTCCTCACAGTCTTGTCTCCCTCTGAGGACCCTCACTTGTCGGCGGATAAAGACACAGTCCTCACAGTCTTGTCTCCCTCTGAGGACCCTCACATGTTGGTGGAAAATGACACAGTCCTCACAGTCTTGTCTCCCTCTGAGGACCCTCACATGTTGGTGGATAATGACACAGTCCTCACAGTCTTGTCTCCCTCTGAGGACCCTCACATATCTGTTGAGAATGACCCTCACTTGTCGGCGGATAAAGACACAGTCCTCACAGTCTTGTCTCCCTCTGAGGACCCTCACATGTTGGTGGAAAATGACGCAGTCCTCACAGTCTTGTCTCCCTCTGAGGACCCTCACATATCTGTTGAGAATGACCCTCACTTGTCGGCGGATAAAGACACAGTCCTCACAGTCTTGTCTCCCTCTGAGGACCCTCACATGTTGGTGGAAAATGACACAGTCCTCACAGTCTTGTCTCCCTCTGAGGACCCTCACATGTTGGTGGAAAATGACGCAGTCCTCACAGTCTTGTCTCCTCTGAGGACCCTCACATATCTGTTGAGAATGACCCTCACTTGTCGGCGGATAAAGACACAGTCCTCACAGTCTTGTCTCCCTCTGAGGACCCTCACATGTTGGTGGAAAATGACGCAGTCCTCACAGTCTTGACTCCCTCTGAGGACCCTAACATGTTGGTGGAAAATGACGCAGTCCTCACAGTCTTGTCTCCCTCTGAGGACCCTCACATATCTGTTGAGAATGACCCTCACTTGTCGGCGGATAAAGACACAGTCCTCACAGTCTTGTCTCCCTCTGAGGACCCTCACATGTTGGTGGAAAATGACACAGTCCTCACAGTCTTGTCTCCCTCTGAGGACCCTCACATGTTGGTGGAAAATGACGCAGTCCTCACAGTCTTGTCTCCCTCTGAGAATGACCCTCACTTGTCGGCGGATAAAGACACAGTCCTCACAGTCTTGTCTCCCTCTGAGGACCCTCACATGTCAGCAGATAAAAACAGAGTCCTCACAGTCATGTCTCCCTCTGAGGACCCTCACATGTTGGTGGATAAAAACACAGTCCTCACAGTCTTGTCTCCCTCTGAGGACCCTCACATGTTGGTGGAAAATGACACAGTCCTTGCAGTCTTGTCTCCCTCTGAGGACCCTCACATGTTGGTGGAAAATGACACAGTCCTCACAGTCTTGTCTCCCTCTTAGGACCCTCACATATCTGTTGAGAATGACCCTCACTTGTCGGCGGATAAAGACACAGTCCTCACAGTCTTGTCTCCCTCTGAGGACCCTCACATGTTGGTGGAAAATGACACAGTCCTTGCAGTCTTGTCTCCCTCTGAGGACCCTCACATGTCAGCGGATAAAGACAGAGTCCTCACAGTCTTGTCTCCCTCTGAGGACCCTCACATGTTGGTGGAAAATGACGCAGTCCTCACAGTCTTGTCTCCCTCTGAGGACCCTCACTTGTCGGCGGATAAAGACACAGTCCTCACAGTCTTGTCTCCCTCTGAGGACCCTCACATGTTGGTGGAAAATGACGCAGTCCTCACAGTCTTGACTCCCTCTGAGGATCCTCACATATCTGTTGAGAATGACCCTCACTTGTCGGCGGATAAAGACACAGTCCTCACAGTCTTGTCTCCCTCTGAGGACCCTCACATGTTGGTGGAAAATGACACAGTCCTCACAGTCTTGTCTCCCTCTGAGGACCCTCACATGTTGGTGGAAAATGACACAGTCCTCACAGTCTTGTCTCCCTCTGAGGACCCTCACATGTTGGTGGAAAACAGTCCTCACAGTCTTGTCTCCCTCTGAGGACCCTCACATATCTGTTGAGAATGACCCTCACTTGTCGGCGGATAAAGACACAGTCCTCACAGTCTTGTCTCCCTCTGAGGACCCTCACATGTTGGTGGAAAATGACACAGTCCTCACAGTCTTGTCTCCCTCTGAGGACCCTCACATGTTGGTGGAAAATGACACAGTCCTCACAGTCTTGTCTCCCTCTTAGGACCCTCACATATCTGTTGAGAATGACCCTCACTTGTCAGCGGATAAAGACACAGTCCTCACAGTCTTGTCTCCCTCTGAGGACCCTCACATGTTGGTGGAAAATGACGCAGTCCTCACAGTCTTGTCTCCCTCTGAGGACCCTCACATATCTGTTGAGAATGACCCTCACTTGTCGGCGGATAAAGACACAGTCCTCACAGTCTTGTCTCCCTCTGAGGACCCTCACATGTTGGTGGAAAATGACACAGTCCTCACAGTCTTGTCTCCCTCTGAGGACCCTCACATATCTGTTGAGAATGACCCTCACTTGTCGGCGGATAAAGACACAGTCCTCACAGTCTTGTCTCCCTCTGAGGACCCTCACATGTTGGTGGAAAATGACGCAGTCCTCACAGTCTTGTCTCCCTCTGAGGACACTCACATGTTGGTGGAAAATGATGAAGTCCTCACAGTCTTGTCTCCCTCTGAGGACCCTCACATGTTGGTGGAAAATGACGCAGTCCTCACAGTCTTGTCTCCCTCTGAGGACCCTCACATATCTGTTGAGAATGACCCTCACTTGTCGGCGGATAAAGACACAGTCCTCACAGTCTTGTCTCCCTCTGAGGACCCTCACATGTTGGTGGAAAATGACACAGTCCTCACAGTCTTGTCTCCCTCTGAGGACCCTCACATGTCAGTGGATAAAGACACAGTCCTCACAGTCTTGTCTCCCTCTGAGGACCCTCACATGTTGGTGGAAAATGACACAGTCCTCACAGTCTTGTCTCCCTCTGAGGACCCTCACATATCTGTTGAGAATGACCCTCACTTGTCGGCGGATAAAGACACAGTCCTCACAGTCTTGTCTCCCTCTGAGGACCCTCACATGTTGGTGGAAAATGACGCAGTCCTCACTGTCTTGTCTCCCTCTAAGGACTCTTGCATGTCCGTGGGTAAGGATGAACTTCTCACAGTCTTGTCTCCTTTTAAGCAGATACTGGATACTGACTGTCCGAAAGATGAAGACAGTGTCATTTCTGATTGCAATGATATAGACTATTGCCCTGAAAGTGATGATTACACAGATAGTGAAGAAATGTCAGATGTTTACGATGAGGGAACAGCCTTCTCAAATGGTTCATCGTGTAGTGCACCAGTTGAAGCAACCAAACTTGCCCCTATGCATTGTAGTGCTGATACAGATGAAGTTTTGGAGACTGCATCACATTTTCGACTTGAGACAACCAGAATCTTACAGTCTTTCCCTAAAGCTTGCCAGGAGACTGAACCAGATATAGAGACTCATTCGGAAGATGGAGACATTCAGGATTCAGCCACATTGAAAAATCCAGACAGTTACATATTTGACATTAACTGTCCGAATATCTACACATTGAAATTCCAAAAGAATTCAAATAATAGCTCAAAACATGGGAGGACATACGATAGAAAAAATGCCTGTTATTTCTTCCACAAGTTGATGACTAACATGCAAACACATTTGAACAGAAACGAAAAAGAAGTGATAGATATGGTGGATATGAAAAGGAAAATAGATAGTAATGATCCATCTTCCAAACAAATAAAGACACAGCTGCGTAAGAAACAGACCATTCTTTGCAATAAGGGAAACAATTTTCACAACTCCAAGGCTTTAAGTGAAAAAAAAGGTGAAATTGTTCTTTCGCGTAGAACAGAAACATCAGTATTTGATGTATCCAAGCATGGGCCATGCCCATTGTGTGAGGAGTGGATTACACTGCAAAATATTACTAAACACAATGCTGCTTGTCCGTGTGCAGATCAAAAGAACCAGAGTGCAAGTAATTCATTCAATAAGGGCCTTGCAATCATTCAGTCAAAGGTGATGACTGGGAAGCTCTCTTCACATGCATCAAAAAAACTGGAAAAAACTGTGTTCCCATCCATGACAAGAGACAACATCACATCAGTTGCACAGAATGACCGATTAATAGTGGCTCTTGGAGATATTTGGCTGGTAAAAAACATTGGTAATAAATTGAGGAGTAGAGGGTTTACAAGTTTTAGGATGAGACTTGCTGCTAGACTTTTGCTTTTACTACGAGAATCTTCCGGACTTGAAAATGCAACAATGGATGAGTTTTTGAATCCTGCATATTTTGATAGTGTTGTCCAGTGCTCCCTGAAAGCCTGTCATGAAGATGAAAATGAGGAATTGAAAAATCCCAGTACCGCATTGAAACTTGGATATGACCTTACACATTTGACGTCAGCAAAACTGGGCCTTGCCATTAAGGAAAGTAATGTAAAGGCTAAAGAGGCAGCGACAGACTTCCTTCGTTTACTCCAAATGGAATGGAGTGTCAAAGTTTCCAAAATTGTGCGTGTTACATTGGAAGAAAGGCATTTCAATAAATTGTCACCTCTGCCAATTCCTGATGATATTGTGAAACTGGCATCCTACCTTGTCACGCAACTGCAAGATTTAGATCTGGACCAAAGCACTATCAATGAGGCATTCTACAGAGAGGTAGCTGTTTTGACTGCAGTGAGACTTATGGTATATAACCGGAGGCGTCCTGGTGAATTGGAGAGTCTAAGGTACATATGTATTTATTTTAATTGATCCTAAAATTAATTACTACGATAAAAATATAGTAAATCTTATTGCAGAAATACTTATTTTCCATATTAAAGAAGACCTCCCAAATGATTGAAAAATTGAATAATTCAGGGTTTTAAATTGCCCTAAAACAAAACAGAGCTTATCCTTGAAAATCCCTGATAATGGTGAAAAAGCCTTAAATGGCCTTAAATTCACATTAAGGCCTTGAATTTGTGAAAATTGGCCTTGAATTTGATGAAATATGCATTAATTATAGTTTCTGTATGAATTCTTGCCATGTTTAGTGAGTTTTTGACCTCTAAGCTATGGATTAAAAAAGAAACAGCGGCTTTTGCCTATAGGGTTATTTCCGTATTTGCAGACAAAATGTATATGAAACTGTTAATTTTGTTGTCTCGTATAGATGTCTAAAATTTGTGAGGGCCTTAAACTATTGTAGCAATATTCCTGTATGAACCCTGTATTAACAAGTACATTGCTACCATAAAATGGATTGCATTCTTTTATTCGGTTCTATTTTGCATGTAAAAAATAGTTGCTATATTGATGCATTTTTCAGAGTTGATGCCTACTATAGAAGGTCCAAGTCGGTGGATGAGGCCGATGCAGCACTTAGGAAAGACTTGACAGAGTTTGAAAAGATGCTTTTAGAGAATCAAGAGCTTGTTGAAATCAGAGGCAAAGTAAGTTGGTTGATCATTCAGTCATACTGGAGAAGATTAACATGGTTTGCTGTTGTAACTTGCTCATATTTTTTACTAGCTTTAAACTGCCCTGGAATATCCACAACACCTTTTAAGTTCATGCATGTACCTTTTGATTGAACATAATGGCAGTAGTATACTGTGCATGACATCTCATTCTGCACATGTGTAAAAATAAAAGATAGTAACCTGTAAAAGCTAATTGACAAAAAAAAATTTATTTATCAGACTGGAAGAGGAGTCCCACTTTTGATTCCTAAAGAAACGCAGAAAACACTTGCCTTTCTTGCAGATTCTGAAAAAAGAAAAAAAGGAGGGATTAACAAAGAAAACCCTTATATCTTTGCAAATAAAGGTAAATAGATTTAATATATAAAATCATGTCATGATATCCAAGTGCTATGAAACCAAAATTTATTGTTACTGAAATCTACCTATATTTGAGCTTAACATTATTTTTCTGCACACTTAAAGATGTCAGTTTTTAATGCCACTGACACCATGTTACTTATGTGGATGTGCTGAATGCAACCTGCATATATTTAAACATTTCCTGGCAAAGAGACTAAACATTTTAAATAGGTGAATTCTTTTAATAGATTCTTTTTGGCATGGCATAAAAACTTTAAAACATGGCAGTTACAATCTGAACAAAAATAAAGAATTGTACCTGAAAAACGGATTAGTTTTGTTGTATTTGATCATTTTTCAAATTATTTTTAAGGTACTTCTGTGATCCAGGCAGGTGATGCTTTAGAAGAAGTCAAATTGAGACCAGAGGTTAAACTTGTGAGCCCTCAGAGAATATATGCAACTAATCTTCGCAAGCAGACAGCAACAATCGCATAGGTAATTATCTATTACATTATGATTAAATAAATGAGCAAGAAACCTAGCGTTGTTTTCTTTTGTTAAAGTTGTATTAAATGTCAATTTCATTTCACTCATTTTACAGTCATTAATTCTATGTATTGCAAACAAGAGGGTAATATATATCTTAATAAGGGCATCAGCAAATTCTTATAATTAATATATTGTTTTATTTTCAGGCATTAAGTTTGGATTCACAGCAACGGAAAAACGTTTGTAATCACTTGGGGCACACACAAAAGGTCCATGATGCATTTTATCGACAGACTTCTGGTCTAGTAGAAAGAATAGATATTGCCAAATTAATGCTGATGCAAGAACACAACCTTGTTGGCAAATATGCTAACAAGAAATTTTCAGAAATCCTGTTTGAAGGTATGTGAAAATATACTTGTTTGCAAAATTTACTCAAATCTACTTCACTCCATGTATGATTCACATATAGACAGCTAAATAGCTGGGGCATTAAACATTGCCCCTGTTTTGTCTGTCCTGTCAGGTCCCAATTCATTATATAATGTTCCACTGATATTGTTATATATACTTTAAATAGTTTCATGTCTGTGCAAAATAAAATTTACAATTTGAATAAGTGTAACAAAATCATCAAGCAAAGAAACATGGACTGTTGTTCTACAGTGATATTGGGTAGCTCTGGTCAAGTGATAAAGCATTAGTTTGTTAAAACTTAGATCTTGCTGAAGATTATTAAAAGGTGTTGTGAATATTGTATGCCTTGTACAATATTCCAAATATGAGGATATTTTTGCCTTTAATAGATACAGAACAATAAGTTGATAGTACTAGAATTTTATAATGGAACTTGATATTTTGTTACCTGTAGAACTTGAAGAGTCTATCCATGAGAGCAAGGGAGGAGACACCGATGCAACTGCTTCAGATTCCCATCTTGATGGTTCGTATTGCTTTTCTCGCCTCCCCACATTTTCAATTATCATAAAAAGTTAAGTGATACGAACTTAACATATATGTACTGGGGTATGCTTTCGAGATTTACATAGCAGTACTGGCATTAAATTACCATGTGTAGAAACTAGAAGGCAGAGTTGATTATATGTGTTAACAAGTTATCAGTGAAAAAGTATTTGGACCAAGCCATGTATCTGATCACCTTTGTTGTAAAATAGATTGATGAAATGGAAACTGATAATAATTTGATGGACATTATGCGTGCATTTCTGTACATTTGGTACACCGCAAAGTTAAATGGATGTCCTTGACCATACAATGGTCAAAATCATGTCAAATTTCACATTACGGCACATATTAATGAAACAGCCAAATCTGACATGGAAATTATCAGTTATGTTCTTTACATTCATAAATTGAATCTCATTTAGTCAATTGAGTGAGGTGCAATATTTGTATAATTATAGTAGGGGTCATTACAGAAGAGCTGTGTACACACTGTACACATGATATCCTCAAAACATTTTGCCAATTTCGACTGAGCCATGCCCCACTGATGCTTATTTAGAAAATCCCTAGGTGCTGACATTGGTCAATTTAATTAAATCTTGACGTGATAAACCAAATGACATCGGAAGAAGTCTTGCCAGAGGTTCCACAGGCTAACACAAATTATAAAATCTGTGACTTTTGAGTTTATTTGGAAAATTTGAATGTATTGCTTTAAGTAATCAGCTTTTATGAGTATTGTGCACTGTTGTATGACAGAAGAAACAACATTTTTAAAGTGATGCTTAATTTGAAATAAATCCATATGACGCAATACGATAAATTATTTATTCATAGTTTTTCTTCATGATTTGGATTTAATGGTTAAATTGTTGTTTCCTGCAACAAAAAATCCAATATGGAGACTTTTAAACACCCTGTGAACAGAACTGCCCCACAATTAAACCTCTCCTCTTTAGACTTTAGACCAATGAAAAAAAAAAGATGTTAAAAAGTTTGTAGCTAACTGATTTCCCCTTCTCTTCTTTTAACCAAACAGATTGGGAACTATCTGGCATGGTAGATTCCTTTAGTGAACAACCACAGAAAAAGAAGTCACAGAAAGGTAAATATTCAATAATTAATACCAGATATCCACTTGATATACAGTATCAATGCTTTATGTCAATGAAATCCGTTGACATTTATAGGAGTTCAAAAATCATGAAAGTCTGTAATTTCCTTTAAGTAATTCAAATATATATGATATCAGATTTCAACCAAACATGTGCTGCTCTTACATGATTGTGCTAGTGCCCTTTCATAATCTGTCAGCAATTTTAGGTCATCTGACCCGAAAGGTCAAGATGAACTATGTTGCATCTGCTGTGCGTAAACTTTTTACTTAAAGGTTTTCTCAATAACCGAAAGACCCAGGGATGGAGTGCTACAAATTTTACTCGTATGGATGCTCGTGACCTACTTTCAAGGTCACAGGGGTCAAATATGTAAAACCTTTAACAATCTTCTCATGGACCAAAAGGCCCAGGGTAATTATATATGGGTAGTAGGTACCGAGGCTGGAGTGCTACAAAGTTTCCTCATATCAATGACCTTTGCATACTTTAAGGTCACAGAAGTTTGGTCAGATGACAATTAAGCCCCCTTGGCCCTTGTTTAGATTATCTTGAACTCCATTGTTTTGAACTTTCTATGCTATCATGTGCAGATGTGCAATGGTTATTGTTGCTTATAATAATCTAAGGACCAACTCTGAGATCTGTTCGCTTTCATTGTGAACACTTTGTAATGGCATTTTATGTCAAGTGACCAATGAATGGTCCAGGGTGAAGGTTGTTTGATCTTTATCCATTTGGTAAGTCATCCTGCTGAGAGTTCTGTTTCACTGTCATTAAAAGTGTGTTGTCTACCAAATCAATTCCAAATTAAAACCTTAAAACATTCTTATAGCAGTTATCTTCATACATGAAAATGCTTTTGACTTTCTTTTTTTTTTTTTTAATTGCAATTGGCAGTAAGAGTGAAATGGACCGAGGTTGAAGAAAATGAGATCAAGAAATACTTCTCCTCATATTTTGATGGGACCATAAAAAAAACTTGCCCTTCGCAACAACACTGTCTTCTGGCAGTGAAGAAAAGTGCAGAAAACCAAGGAGAATTACACCGAAGAAAATGGGATACATTAAAGAAGAAGGTTTCAAACATGCTGCTAAAAAATGCCAAGTACTCTACAGGATAATGATGGACTATCAGAAATGAACTATCAGAAACTCTTAGGTCATGGATGAAATAGTAATATCTTAGGTCATGGAAAAATGTTATAATATGTTAACACTTAGGCCATGGATAAAGTATTAACACTTACCTTGGATTATGGAGAAAGGGTTATGGAGGAATGTTGAGATTTGTATCGATGTTTATATGTTAAATGTTAGGTCATGCACACAATGAAAGATTTGTGTTGAGTTTTATATGTTAATTCTTTCATCCTGAACACAATGTTGACTCTTAGGTCGTGGATAAAATAGTTACATCTTAGATCATAGAAAAATCTTCAGATTTGTGTCAGTGTTTATATGCTCTTAGGTTATGGATGAAATAGTAACATCTTAGATCATGGAAAAATCTTAAGATTTGTGTCAGTATTTATATGTTAACTCTTAGACCATGGACAGTGTTAACTCTTAGATCACGGACACAGTGTTAACTCTTAGACCGTGGACAATGTTAACTCTTAGATCACGGACACAATGTTAACTCTTAGACCATGGACAATGTTAACTCTTAGATCACGGACACAATGTTAACTCTTAGACCATGGACAATGTTAACTCTTAGACCATGGACAATGTTAACTCTTAGATCACGGACACAATGTTAACTCTTAGACCATGGACAATGTTAACTCTTAGATAATGGACACAATGTTAACTCTTAGACCATGGACAATGTTAACTCTTAGACCACGGACACAATGTTAACTCCTAGATCACGGACACAATGTTAACTCTTAGACCACGGACAATGTTAACTCTTAGACCATGGACAATGTTAACTCTTAGACCATGGACAGTGATAACTCTTAGACCACGGACACAATGTAAAACTCCTAAATCATGGACACAATGTTAACTCTTAGACCATGGACAATGTTAACTCTTAGATCACGGACACAATGTTAACTCTTAGACCATGGACAATGTTAACTCTTAGACCATGGGCAATGTTAACTCTTAGATAATGGACACAATGTTAACTCTTAGACCATGGACAATGTTAACTCTTAGACCATGGACAATGTTAACTCTTAGATCACTCTTAGACCATGGACAATGGACATGGACAATGTTAACTCTTAGACCATGGACAATGTTAACTCTTAGACCATGGACACAATGTTAACTCTTAGACATGGACAATGTTAACTCTTAGACCATGGACACATGTTAACTCTTGTTAACTCTTAGATCACGGACACAATGTTAACTCTTAGACCATGGACAATGTTAACTCTTAGACCATGGACAATGTTAACTCTTAGACCATGGACAGTGTTAACTCTTAGACCATGGACAATGTTAACTCTTAGACCATGGACAATGTTAACTCTTAGACCATGGACAATGTTAACTCTTAGATCACGGACATGGTTAACACAATGTTAACTCTTAGACCATGGACAATGTTAACTCTTAGATCACGGACACAATGTTAACTCTTAGACCATGGACAATGTTAACTCTTAGACCATGGACAATGTTAACTCTTAGACCATGGACAATGTTAACTCTTAGATCACGGACACAATGTTAACTCTTAGATCACGGACACAATGTTAACTCTTAGACCATGGACAATGTTAACTCTTAGACCATGGACATGTTAACTCTTAGACAATGTTAACTCTTAGACCATGGACAATGTTAACTCTTAGATCATGGACAATGTTAACTCTTAGACCATGGACAATGTTAACTCTTAGACCATGGACAATGTTAACTCTTAGATCACGGACACAATGTTAACTCTTAGACCATGGACAATGTTAACTCTTAGACCATGGACAATGTTAACTCTTAGATCACGGACACAATGTTAACTCTTAGACCATGGACAATGTTAACTCTTAGATCACGGACACAATGTTAACTCTTAGACCATGGACAATGTTAACTCTTAGATCACGGACACAGTGTTAACTCTTAGACCACGGACACAATGTTAACTCCTAGAAAAAGAACACAATGTTAACTCTTAGACCATGGACAATGTTAACTCTTAGATCACGGACACAATGTTAACTCTTAGACCATGGACAATGTTAACTCTTAGATCACGGACACAATGTTAACTCTTAGATCACGGACACAATGTTAACTCTTAGACCATGGACAATGTTAACTCTTAGATAACGGACACAATGTTAACTCTTAGACCATGGACAATGTTAACTCATGGACAATGTTAACTCTTAGACCATGGACAATGTTAACTCTTATGGACAATGTTAACTCTTAGACATGGACAATGTTAACTCTTAGACCATGGACAATGTTAACTCTTAGACCATGGACAATGTTAACTCTTAGACCATGGACAATGTTAACTCTTAGACCATGGACAATGTTAACTCTTAGACCATGGACAATGTTAACTCTTAGATAATGGACACAATGTTAACTCTTATACCATTGACAATGTTAACTCTTAGACCATGGACAATGTTAACTCTTAGACCATGGACAATGTTAACTCTTTAAGATCACGGACACAATGTTAACTCTTAGACCATGGACAATGTTAACTCTTAGATCACGGACACAATGTTAACTCTTAGACCATGGACAATGTTAACTCTTAGACCATGGACAATGTTAACTCTTAGACCATGGACAATGTTAACTCTTAGACCATGGACAGTGTTAACTCTTAGACCATGGACAGTGTTAACTCTTAGACCATGGACAATGTTAACTCCTAGATCACGAACACAATGTAAACTGTTAGGTCATGGACTCAATGTTAACTCTTAGATCACGGACAATGTTAACTCTTAGATAACAGACAATGTTAACTCTTAGATCATGGACACAATGTTAACTCTTAGACCATGGACAGTGTTAACTCACAATAGATCACGGACACAATGTTAACTCTTAGGCCATAGACAATGTTAACTCGTAGGTCACGGATGAAATGATGGATGTTTAACAAAGGAATTGAAATGTTGCTGTAAATAATTAATTATTGCAGAGGAATCATTTCCATTTATATTGAGTTAAACAACTGAGAGATAAACAAATTATAATTTTTTCAAATTAAAAATTACATGTACATACATTATAAGAATTGTGTCTTTACATTATAAGCTAATTGAACTCTTGCATGATAGAGGTAATAACTTCTTTGAGAGAAAATGGCAGCCCAACTTAAGCTTGTTGTTATTGGAAGTTCTGGTGTGAGAAAAAGTGCTTTGTGTATTCAATATGTCCAGAATTATTTTGTGGAAGACATATACCCTACAATTGAAGACTTGTACACTAAAAAATGTGTAGTTAATGGTGTAAGTTGTACAATTGAAGTGATTGATACAAGTGGTAGGAATGAATTCAGCATTATGAGACAGCAGAATATTGTTAATGCTGATGGAATCTTGTATGTATTCAATCTTCATGAAGAAATATCAGTTGATAACGTAGAAAAAGATATGGCATTTATAAGAAGGATTAAAGATGTGCCAGTGATATTTGTTGGTAACCAATGTGACATTTCTGTTGATTCGGGAGTGGATGAACTAATTTCTTACTTAGCAGCAACTCACTGTGTACAATATATGAAAACTTCAGCTAAGACCTCAGAAGGTGTTGAGGAGGCATTTTCAGCTCTAGTTACTACCATTTTGGCACAGAAAGCAGAAGATCTGACAATTTCCACTCACTGTAGCTGTTTAATACTATAACATTTTGCAAGGAACCATCACTTGACTACACAATTTGAAAGGTCTTAGTGCTTCCTTAATGTAGCATTTCTTTTAATGTGTTAGAATACAAATTGTTGAACATTACTTGTGTTGGGGTTAGCAATGTAAGGGATACAATATTGAGATTGTGTTAGGGTTAATGTGTTAACTCTTTCGTCATGGACAAAGTTAACTCTCAGGTCAGGTACACAATATAAAGTTTCGTGTCAGTTATAATATGCTAACTCTTAGTCGTGGTTACAATATTAACTCAAATGTTGTGGATGCAAGGTTAACTCTTAGGTCATGGATGAAATGATGGGTTTTGAACAAAGGATTGCAGTGTTGTTGTAAATAATTTAATCATTTCCATTTATATTCAGTTAAACAACTGAGAGATCCAAAAATTGTGTTTTCAAATTAAAAATTACATGTACCTACATTATAAGAATTGTGTCTTTACATTATGAGGTAATTGAACTTGTGCGTGGTAGAAGTAATAACTTCTTTGGGAGAAAATGGCAGCCGAACTTGTTATTGGAAAATTTGTGATTTGGGAGTGGATAAACTAATTTCTTACTTAGAAGCAATTCACTGTACAATATGTGAAAACTTCAGCTAAGACCTCGGAGGTAATGGAGAGGCATTTTCAACTCTAGTTACTTCTATTTTGGCACAGAAAACAGAAGATCTGACAATTTCCACTCGTAGCTGTTTAATACTATGACTATTTTGCAAGGAATCATCACTTGACTACATAATTTGAAAGGTCTTGGTGCTTCCTAATGTAACATTTATAATGCATTCTAATACAGATTACTGAATTTTTTTTACTTCTGTGTTTGGGTTGTTGTATTGACGATTATTTGCAATTGGCACTATGGCTTCCCATGAAGATATTTTAATCCAAGTTGTAATATATCTTACAATGATAGAAGAAAAAAATTTATCTTGATGACAACAAAGTTTGTACTTCTGGGTTCTGTTTTGGAAAGTTGTAAGTTTCTGTGTTGGTCAGATGTCTTGAGGACATAATGCTAGTCCATTTAGGTTTTTTAGGTCACCTGAACAGGATAACTTAAGTAGTTATGAACCAATCTTGATGAAACTATGTATACCTCTTTATATCAATAAGATCTTGGACGAGTTCTATAAAGGGATGGAATCAATGATTATTTACAGAATTAGTCCCCATGCGGTTTATTACACTTTGAGCTTGTGAACATGATTTAAGTAATTTTGAACCAATTTTTATGAAATTTGTTTTGCAGTTTTATATT